GTTTTGCTGCAGGTGGGACTGATGACGGATGAGATCATGAGCAAAGAAGATAATGTGGGAATTCTGAAACTAAAATATCTGCATCTATTTCTTTAAGCAAAGAATATCTTTTCTATAATCCTAACGGCCCTAAAACAGGAGAGACTTTGTCTGATTAAATATAAATATCTGCTTTTGATGCATGATTCTGTTCATCATCTGTTCACTAAAATCGTCTCACCTTCAGTTTCAGAGCTGGACTTTCCGGGTCTGAGAGGAGAACATATCGGAGGGGTTAAAAAGTCTGATATTTTATCCTCAGATTGTTGGCCGTAGGCCAGAACCAGTATAACCATCAGGACAAATGGGTCTCTGATCACAGCAGGAAACCAGAAAGGTAAACTCTGTGAGTATAAACTCCATGAGTATAAACTCTGTGAGTATAAACTCTGTGAGTATAAACTCTGTCGCTTTGAACGCATCTCAAACATAGCTTTCTTCTTCACAACCTCCAGTTCTCTTAGACTCAGCTGAGCCAGTTTATCCATCAGCTTCTGGATCACAGACTCTAACTGGTCCACCTAGAAGAAAGAATCACTATAATAACTCACAGGTTTTATGATTCGTTTTATAAACAGTGTTGGATTAACCTTGGTTTCTAAATCATTTATTGATTGTTATCATTACTGCTGTCAGAGAGACAAATTCCTCATGTTTAAAACCATCGCTGCATTAAAGGCAGATTGATCACAGAGACATAAAATCACTTTACTTACTTTGTCGTTCAGTTCAGGCCAAATTACTTCCTGTTTCCCTGAAGATAGAGAAAAATAAACTAGATCCGGTTAGAACGAGGCTCAGTCCTCCTGCCCCACAACATCAGATTAACAGAATTATAATGAAATGATCGATATGTGTCTAGTTTATCAGCAGCATGCGGTGGTTTATCCTCGGTGTTTAGCATTAATATGAAATCAGACGATCATGGGGATTAGGCAGAACATTGGATGGATGAAGACGGGCTGAAGTTCAAACGGAACCTCAGATTACAGAAGGAAGGAGACAGATATTAGCATCTGATCATCCAGCAGGTTTCAGATGATTGCCTTGGTGTGTTCAGATGTTTCAGCAATCAGATCATCAAACATGGAGCAGCTGCTACGGACAGACTGGTTTAGCAGACATGGAGGCCATCGAAGCTCGGAGCGACAGGCTACAGCCGCCCGGAACGGACCGCACGCTACAGGCTGACAACCTCCTGGTTGTCATGGTGATGGAGACCCTCGGTTCCTATGCTAACCATGTTCAACACTGTGCCACTCGTGTTAAACTGGTTTCCAGTGAGCCCTCTGCATCCCACTGTGGCTCCCAGTCAGATTTCAGTCCAACCCAAAGTTCTTCAGCAGAATTAAACTGAGCTGCTGCTGTTGTTTGTGAAGCTCTCCTCCAGCAGGTCACTAAACCAGAAACACCTTTCTGGAGGAGAACTGGAAGGAAGCATCCATCTTCTACGGACCATCACTTCCTGGATGACTGAGATCTTCCACCAGCAGAACGAGGAGATGTTCAGATCAGGGAGCTGCTCTCTGCCAAGTGTGAAATGCTAGCATTCGTATCGCCGCTGCCTCTCCATTCTTACTACAGATCGGGTTTGACTCACCTTTTCCTCTTGGGCAGCCGTCAGACAGCCTGCGAGCCAAATCAGACATGCTGATGCCTGTTAAAGCCTCGGTGGCCACCTCCACGGCCTGTCGGCCGCATCGAGCCAACAGCTCATCCGCTAACTTCTCCTTCTTCAACGACAACCTGCTGCTAGATGGAAAAGGTCGGAGACCCCGTTGAAAGAGAGTGAACAGCAGAGACCATGTGAAGAGCTGGAATTCTTCCTGATTTAGAGCCCCCAGTATTTCTGAAAGATGATCTCTGGCAGCGGCCATCGATGCCACCTGAACCAAGAAGAACAAGTTCAATTACAGACAGGAAGCTTTTCATCTGGTTACCTCTGAACTCTGGGATTATCTTAATCTGGACGTCTGGAGACTCCTCAGATCAGACAATGCTTACTTTGTGGATCAGTGCAGTTGGAAGTTTATCAATTTCTGTTTCTAAAAGAAGTGGAGAAACATTTATTAAATAAAAGGAAACGCTGAGCTTTGGTTGTTAATCTTTCTAAGCTCACCTTTGGATGTTGGTCTGCTGTCTGACAGCTTCCTAACCAGACTGATCTTCCCCATCTCCTTTAAAATATTCTTTGTTTTATCCAGAGACTGCATTCTCCAGGCCTCCACCAACATCAGCACGGCGTTCCTGGGGTCTGCCCTGTGCAGCCTGATTCTGAGGTCTACATCTGAGCTGAAGGTCTGCATGTCCCTCTGGAGGAACTCCTGAAAGACTCTGAATTCCTCCTCAGTCATTCCAGTCAGCGTTTCCAGCAGCAGCTCAACATCAGACTCCATCTTTAAAACCTGAGGAGATGAAGTGAAAAGTTGGAGTCTGTTCCAGACAAAGACTGTCCATCCAACAATCCAAAGACTGTCCATCCAACAATCCCAAAGACTGTCCATCCAACAATCCCAGGACTGTCCATCCAACAATCCAAAGACTGTCCATCCAACAATCCCAAAGACTGTCCATCCAACAATCCCAG